TTCTGTACGCGGACGGCACGAGGTTGGTGGCAGACAGGCTGGAGTACCTTCAGGAGCATTTGAACACAGTCGTCCAGATCGGGAGGACTTTTGGTCTGGACCTGAACGTGGGCAAAACTACACGTCGTTCATTTCTAATCGTGCTCATTTCTAATTGTGCTCGTTTCTAATTCTTCCTGACCCCCTAGCGGCCAGGAAGAGGCCCAGGATAGAAGAATTAGAAATGAAAGGATCTTGGCCCCCATAAAATCAAGAACTTTCGAATAATTAGGAATGAGCAGTGTGTATACTTCTCTGGATCAGGTCCGAAACGAACATCAGAGGGCCAGACGGCGAATCCATCCCGTGTCAGAGCAGTGCCGTCTATCTGGGCGGGTTCCCCAACGTCGACGGCAAGCAGAAGAGTGAGTTGACCAATGCGCCTAGGAGAGGCAAAAGGAGCATTTGAGAAAGTTCGCTCTGTGTGGAACCACGCCAAGCGAGCAGCGCAAGATTAAGGTTTTGGAGGCGTGCGTCTTTTCCAAACTGCTCCATGGCCTCGAACCTTGTGTGTTGCTGCAAGCAGACAGGGCGAAGCTAGATGCATTCCAGGCGCGGTGTCTCAGGAAAATAATCACGATCGCTCCTGCATATGCTTCTCGCGTCGGCAACGCTGGCGTTTTAGACTGTGCAGGTGCTCAGAGACCGTCCGACTTGTTGCTGCGACGCCAGCTGCTATTTTACGGCCGGCTCGCCCGTGAACCCGCGAGCAGCCTGCCAAGACGCATGCTTCTTGCAGCTGATGCCCACAATCGTCGGATCCCCAGGCCTCGGGGGAGCGCTCGAGCGAGGGGCCAGCCACGCCTGCAGTGGAGACATCCTCTGCACTCCCGAGCCCCGGAAGCTTCGGGGGGGGAGCCCCGACGGGCTCCAGGAGCTCCCAGGGAGCGACGTGCAGTCACGCGCCGCCGTCACGAGATGGTGCAAGTAGAAGTGATTTGGTTGTTTCCTCCTCTCCTTCCTTCCCTCCCTCCTCCATCTCCTTCACCTCTCTCTCCGCGGATTGCCGGCAGGTCAACGCATCGCCTCCCATTCGGTACAAAGTCTACCGATGGTCTGCAACCGAGCCGCTAGCAGCGCAATCCATTATCTCAACTATTTTTGCATGTGCCTATCCATTGCGCGGCTTCTGTTTGTCTGTCAAAGCCCCCAAACGCCGCCAGGAGGCCCCCAACAGATTCAAAAACTGCCTCCATGACGCTCCCGACGCGCCTCCCAAGCGACCCCATCAGCCATCCGAACGGCGTCAAACCCGCAACCCAGGCACGGCGGCGGGGTGTGCCCAAGGCCATGCGATAATCATCCCTTCTGGCATTTTGAAAGACGCCCACCGTCTGCAAACGTGGGTTCTCGCCTGACGCCCCATGCATGCATGGCGAACACCGATAATGCCAGCCGCAGAAATCATTACTGGCGGTGCGGGCGGAGCCGCCGTTGGCAGGGGGCCCGCGAGAACCCTGCACTAGCACGCAGTAGACTGCCCAAGAGGGCCCCCGAATGCCCCACATCTCTCTCCAAGACGCCCACGACGGCCGCAGAGCGGCCCCGTAAGCCCCGAACGCACTCGACGAGAACTCCAACAAAAACTTCCCGAGAGGCCCTCCGGCGTTCTTTCGGCTCAAGACGTCTCCACGACCGTGCCACGACGGCCCCACAGGCCACCGAAAAGGCCACCAACCATGTCACGAGGCCCGACAAAATGACCCACGAGAGGGACAGTACACCGAAAGTCCTGGTAGATCAGCCTCAGACGCCGTCGTCGTCGTCGTCGTCGTCGTCGTCGTCGTCGTCGTCGTCGTCGTCGTCGTGGTCGTCGTCTGACTACCTACCAGACCTCCCCAACCCAACCCGAAGACCCGAATTTCGGGTTGGGGGGGGGTACGGGTTCCATATGTGTTTTCTCGATGTTCCCCGACCCCCCCACAACCGGAAATGGAGGGCAAATTGAGGCCTTCGGGTTGGGTTGGGGTGGTTTGGTGGGTGGTGATCGTCGTCGTCGTCGTCATCCTTCTCCTCCTCCCCCTCTTCCTCCTCCTCTCTCGGGAAGGGAAGGAGGAAGAATCCGACGATGGAGGCTCGCGGCGGTCTCTCGGCGCTTTCGGCGACTTCTGGCCCCGGGAGCCCCCCGCCGTCGCTCGGACGTCCATTCCCCGTGCATTTTTCGGTTTCGCGCGTGTTTTTTTGGCCCGATGGTCGAGGATGCTCCTCGAAGGCGCTCGCCTAGAAAAAACATGCACACGTCCAGGCGATGCGATGGGCCCTCGAAAGTCGACCCGCGGGAGGGACTCTCGCGCCGTGGACAGCCCCAAGCTCATCCAGAGTAGACCATGGACACGGTTGGGCCCCACGAGAGATTCAAGGTCGATGTTTGCAAAGGCCTGGTCGGGGAAAACTGACCGCGGGCGGCGAGCATATCCATATCCACGCCCCTGCGAACCGCGCTCCCTGGCACGCTCCCGTGTATACGCGACCACATGGATGCACTCCACGCGGGGCCGTCGCGAAAAAAAACACCCCGCATCCATGGGGTCGCGCCCCAAGAGCTCGGCCTGCGAAAACGTGGATATGCCAGGCTGATCGACGCCTCAAGAGAGGCCCAGTCCAATTCCCGAACCTCCGACGTCTAGAACACATCCGCCAATCCATTCGGGTGTCATCGGCGTGTGAAATACGATTGTGGATGCCACGGCAATGGACACCCTAGCAGTCCTATCATTGGATTTCAAATGTGTTTAAACTGTCGGAAGCATGTTCTAAGCATGTTCCAAACATGTGCTTATATGTTCAAAGCATGCTTAACACATGCTGCATACATCTGGAAGTTATTTGGCAACATGCTTCCTCTCCACTGACTGTCCTCCACAAAAAACACGATGCCTTTCCCAGATCCGCCCCCCCCCCCGGAGCCTGGCCTGGTCGATCTGGAGGGGAGGGGAGGGGGCCCCGCCCGCCGGCCCGAGAGGTCGGGCCGAGTCCGCGAAGGGGGGGTCGCCCGCTGCAGATGTTCTGCCTGGGTAGAATACAGTCGGGGCGTTGACCTGAGGAACCCTAAACGTTAGGAACGCCCCGACTGTCAACTTAGGAACGTTAGGAACGCCCTAAACGTTAGGAACGCCCTTCGTTCCTAACGTTAGGAACGTTAGGAACGAGACCCCTATTTCCATAAGTTGAATTTCGATATCATATCGAAAACCTAAGGCAAACTGCGAAACAATTAAGGAACACGGAGCGCCTCCCCAGCGAAAAGGATTCCTTCTTCAGGGCCCCGACTGGACGCGCCCCCCCAAAAAAAACACAAGAGGCCCTCAAAAGACCCCCCAGACGGTGCAAGAGAGACACGAGACGCCGAAGGCTCGCGCCTAGACGCCCAAGATGGCCCCCAGACGGCTCAGGAAGCCTTCTAGACGCCCCGAGGGGCCTCCAAGAGGCCATCCAAGAGAGCACCAAGAAGGGCAAATCATAGCTTCCCCGAACACATTGTTCGCGGTTTGGGGGAAATTTCGCGCTTTCAACTTCCCGACGCTCGTAGAGGGCCCACATGGCCCCCACGACGGCAGAAGCGGCCTCCACGACGCCCACAGAGGCGCCCAAAACCAACTCCAAAAGAAAGCCAGCCGGAAGACCCGAACGGAAACTCCGAGCACTCGGCCCCAAGAAGCCCCCAGGAGGTCCCACCAGACCCCCAAAAGGCCCACACGAGGCCCCCACCGGCAGGCATCTACTACGCCGGCGGTGCGGCGTAAGCCCGAGAATCTGTGGTAGGAGCAAACGTACTCATCTACGTGGTGTTAGCTATGTGATGTAAGCTATGCGGCGCAATAGATTGCAACCGATTGGAATGCAATCGATGGGATTGCAGTCGCACAAGAGCTGTGCAATCAATCTGGTGCAAGATATGTACTTGTGCAATCTGTGTTGTGCGATCTCTGTGGTGCAACCGATGTTGTGGGATCTATGTTGCGCAATCTATGTAGTGAGCGATCAGAAAGCGAGCCGCAGGCGCGAATTTTGTCCGTGCAATCAATGACACAATCGAGCGGCGGCGACGGGCGGCACCGAGGCGGCGACAGGGCGGCGACGGCGACGACATAGCCGCCAGATCGCCCAACCGGCCCAGACGACGGGCGGCGACGAGGCGGCGACGGGGCGGCGACGTTGACGACACAGCCGCCAGACCGCCCAACTGGCCCACTTCCTTAGAGGAGATGCAAGAACCCCTAAGTGCAAGCACTGTCTGGGGAATCTTGCAAAACTGCTGTTGGGTTGCCATTGTTTCCCAACCATCCTGTGGTGTTGGCTCCTCGTTTCGGAAAGACGGTTCCCGCGTTCCTCCTTCCTTCCTCCTCCCCCTCCTCCCCCCTCCTCCTGTCACCGGACGGCCCCAAGACAGCTGCAGCAACACAGTCAGGATAGACCCAATACTCCCCTCACGGCACCCCAGAGCGGGGCGCGATCGTTGAGCATAACACTCCAAACTTTTGAGGTCCGCGCGAACCTCCGAAGAAAGTTTACGCTTATGCGACCCAAGGGCGCGTAAAGTCTTGTAGTCCTCCTCATTCCACCCTCAGGAAGAGATCAATGGCAGAATGCGACTGGCCCAGGATACGATCTGGAGGTTCTGGAGTTTCTAGTGGTCCTCGGTCAATTCGCACTCGGCCATTCGTCTCTGGCCGCGCGGGACAACGAGAAAACCTGCAAATGTTGGAACGCACGATTAAATTGTGCGCAGAGGGAGTTGATCCATAATCACCACCTTGGAGATCGACCTTCGGGGACCATAGCAGGTGGTGGATATGCAGATGTTGGGCCCCCTGGGGCCCGAGTGTGTCTGTATCCGCTGCCTACCGAGGTTCTCTAAGATCAATCCCCCATGCGGTGGTTATGGATACATCCCCGTCTCAGACCATCTCGCTACTCTGATCACCTCTCCCCCGCATCCCTCACGAGAAGGGCCGCCCTGCCTTGCTCGTGCTGCGGGCGTTGGCGAGGAGGTTGCGATGGTGCGACGGGTTCGAGCTCGCGGAGCTGCCGCCGCTCATGACGACGCCGCTCCTGCGACGGCGACGACGACGGCAGTGGCGACGGCAGAGGCGGCGGAGGCGGCGGCGATGACGCGGGAGGAGGAGGAGGTGGAGGAGGAGGAGAAGGAGGAGAAGGAGGAGGAGAAGGAGGAGAAGGAGGAGGAGAAGGAGGAGAAGGAGGAGGAGAAGGAGAAGGATGAGGAGGAGGAGGAGAAGGAGGAAGGGAGGACGACGAGGAGGGGCAGCGGGAAGGGGGGACGGGGGAGGAGGAAGAGGCAGCGCGAGTCTGACGGCAGAACGTTCGATATATCTTCCCCCGCTCTGCCGCCTCCCGTCCCCCCCCCCCCCCGCCCCGTCCTGGTGCTGCGCATCGTGGAGGAGGGCAGCTCGTCGAGCGAGGGGACCTCTGGCTTCTGCTTGAGGCACGGCGAGTTGCGTGCCAGGACCAGGCCCTTGACCACGCCCCCGAAGGCCAGCACCTCGCCGCCGTCGCGTCGGCGTCGCCGTCGGCTTGGCCGCCCGGAGCCGTCGTCTCCGCCGGCGCTCGTCGCCCGAGGCCGTCGCCTCCGCCGGCGTCGCCGTCGCCGCTGCAGCGCTCGTCGCAGCCGTCGCTGTCGTCGGCGGAGATCGAGGAGGAGGAGGAGGAGGAGGAGGAGGAGGAGGAGGAGGAGGACTCTTTGCACTCTTTGATAGCGGAAGCTGTCCTGGGAGGAGGAGGAGGAGGAGGAGGAGGAGGAGGAGGAGGAGGAGGAGGAGGAGGGAGGAGGAGGGAGGGAGGAGGAGGAGGGAGGGGGGAGGAGGAGGGAGGGAGGAAGAGGAGGGATGGAGGAGGAGGGGGAGGAGGGCGAGGCGGAGGGTGAGGAGGGACAGGCCCTCACGTCCGGCGTGGCAAAAATGCAACATCGCAGAACATCACCACGGGAGCCCCGGACCCCATCTTTTCTGCGCCAGTTGGTCGAGCCGGATCGAGCTGCCAGGGCCCCGGTGCCCGAAACTGGGCGAAAACGCCCGCTATGGAAACATGGCAAGGGGAGGAGGGGAGGAGAGAGGGGGAGGAGAGGGGAGGAGAGAGGGGAGGGAGGGGAGGGGAGGAGAGAGAGGAGGGGAGGAGAGAGGGGAGGGGAGAGAGAAGAGGGGAGGAGAGAAGGAGAGGGAGGGGAGGGGAGGAGGGAAGGAGAGAACGACAGGCCAGGCCCACCAGGCGAGGCCCTGGCCAAGCTTGCTCCACGGGCAGGCCTGATCCGCAGATTGCGCCCTGGACTCAGCGCGGCGCCTGCCATGGCAGAGCGAGGTTTGCAGGCGGCGGTTCTGGGGAAACCAAAAGGTACCGATACCGCTACTCCCCGGACCTCTCCCGGAGTGCGTTCTGACCAGGATTTCGGGGCGAATCCAGCGGTGGCGACGAGGGCCTCGCTGGAGGTCCAAAAAAAGGAAAACGGGCGAGGGGGTAGAAGCATGGGTACCTTTTCCTCCTCCGAAGTTCACGCCCACGGGTGCCAGCACAGCCACCCCGACAGAACTCTCTCTGTGGGACCACTTCGGGCCCCACGGGGGAAAAGCCGCCTACTTGGCTTTTTGAGGGCAACTTCTCCTGTGACCACTCCAGCCTCCCAGGCAAAGGCATGCCCTCGGATGGTGCCCACATCAAGGGCAGGGCTATCCGACGACTGGGGCATGTCGCGCGCACCAGCAACGCGAAGTCTGGCATGGAATCTATCAAGCTTACGTGGTCCTGCTATGCCGACTCCAACCTGCTCACCAGTCGGCTCCCTCAAGTGTACGAGTCATCCAGGTTGCCAGGCACGACACTGGCAGCAACCACAGGGACGAGACCGACCACGTGATCAAACACGACGTGGACACCGCCGAGACCCACGACCGGAACCAGGATGGCCCGAGCATCGCAGAGCGCAAAGGCAATAGCACAGAAAACCGCAGCCGGAGGCGCACACGGTACCGCGGTGGTCAGCGACTGGAGCGATGCCAGCGCCACTCACACCGAGCAGAAACACACACTTTCCACGAGCAGGACATCGGCCACACGAAAGACGCTGGCGACCAACACGACGGCGGGCTGCCCCACGGCCGGCCCGACGGACAAACCGACGGGCGGCCCGACGACCAACTCCACGACCAGCGCCGCGGCCGACGACGGACGATCCGACGCCTACCCGAAGGACACGTCAACGGCCAAGACGACGGCCTACCTGCAGACCCGACCGACGGCCAAAGCAGCGGCCTACCCACGACGGCCCGCGCGAGACGGCGAAGCCTCAGGCAATGGCGGGGAGCCTGTGCCGAGGGAGCTCACGCTCACAGACTGGGAGCAAAGAGAACCAGCAGCACCACTGCCATCGAGAAGAGCCAGGAAGGGACCTCTCAGTGGCGTGGCCCCATGTCTTACGACGTCTGTCTCGAGGCACCTCCCATCCCCAGCTCGGGAAGGCATCGTGGACCTCCACGCCAGAGGTGACTCAGTGGTGGTGGTGGTGGTGGTGGTGGTGTCGATGCTCCACCCGATGGTCCGTTCGACGACAAATATAACCAGGTACACAAGAGGCATAAGCAAAGTACACACCGAACGCCAGAACATCCCGCTGCTGGGCCAGCCTTCTCCTGCCCACCCTCGGGCCATCGGGGGAGGCGGGATGCGGCGTGTCTTCGAGCGACGGCTCCTCAACGCCCCGGACCTCTGGTGCGGGCCTAAACCCACCCTGGAGGGCTTGCAGCAAGCTGAGGTCCTGATGCGAACGCTCGTGGACTAGTCACGGATAGCAAACACGGGACTTTTTGGAGCGCAAGGACTCGGAGCCTTTGGATTGGTCAAAGACCGACGTTCAGGAGCGGATCTGGCAGGTGAGTAAGTGGGCCCAGGAACATGAACACCACGCGGCCTCTACATGGGCCAGAGCCTGGAGGGGGCGGGTTCAAGATTCCCGTCAAAGAGGGGCCCGTCTGGGCCACAAGTTTAAGAAGGAGGTCCTGGAATGGGCGGAGCCTGGGCTCCCGCTTGCTACGGAAACTGGGGCCCTGGCTATGGCTTGGCATGAGCGCTGAAGCACTGCTACGTCTTACCCCGCTCCTGAGCTTCGCTGGCGCGCGGACGGGTGCGAGCTGGACCCCACGACCTCGGAAGAGCTGCCGTCCACCAGCCGCGCGTGCAGCGCGCGCACACACGCGCGCGCACACGCGCACGCGCACTCGCACACGCACGCGCAGACCCATACGCTTTGCTTCTGATGCTGCAGACCAGACGCATTGGGGAAAAAACGATTCCTGTCCGCTGAAGCGCTTGCCTTCACAGGCGAGTCGGACATCATTCGCACTCGCTGGCAGCGCCGACCGTGCTAGACAAACGTAGCGTGTGTGCGCGAACCCCAGACGGCCTCCAACCGTCACACACGCAGAAAGCCAAACGCGTCGCCCAGCGTAGCATAAGAAGAAAAACACCGATCGCTCCGGACCGGGTCAGACCGAGCTGACAGCAGTGCTGCAAAGTTAAATGTCGGAGACCAAGCTCCGTGAATAATCACGCAAACTCAATCGCCCGGCAAGTGGCAGCACACAGACGGGATGAGCCAAGCCACGAATGGTGGGAGAATCGCGAGGCGCAACTGCCAACGCGCCAGTGCCGAAACAGCCAGGCACATACGGACAGATATGTCCTCAAGGAGGGGAGGAGGAGCCAGAGGAGGAGGAGGATTAGGTTAGGCTCGCCACTAGACCCGCCACCCCGAGCAGGCACAGAAGCCCCCGCTCGACATGGCGAGCCCGTGGTTTCAGTTTCAGCATGCTCCACCGCCGCTCGCAGGCCCTCTGGCCTGCGAGGGCCCACTCCCTGGTGCCAGCGCTGGCACACAGGGGTTCACGACGGCGGGCCCGCGAGCGGCGGCGGCGGCGTCAGCAGGCGCACAGGGCCGCGCCCGCGACACGCCGCTGGCGGCGAGCTCCACGACGTCCTCCTCGTAGAGCTCCTGCTCGAAGTACACTTTGCGGCCTAACCCCTCGCCGCGCAGGGGAAAACTGTGGCCTAACCCCTCGCCACGCAGGGGAAAACTGCGGTCTAACCCCTCACCGCGCTGGGGTTGGTGGCCTAACCCCTCGCCACGCAGGGGGTGTGTGCGGTCTAACCCCTCACCGTGCTGGGGATCGCCTGACCCCGCAGTCTGGCCCTGCGAGGGTCGGCTGCGGTCTAACCCCTCACCGTGCTGGGGTGGGACGTACTGCTTTCCGTACTGCTCCCTCTCATTGACGCGGTCTAACCCCTCACCGCGCTGGGGTGCTCTCCTCCACTCGGAGGGGTCGTCGGGCTGCCCCTGGATCGTGGTGATCGGGTCGTGGTGCCCTGGGGGCCGTACCCCCACTATCTCCTGTCCATCGTGACGCCGCCCTTCGACCCTTTGTTCTCCTTCGCCTCGAGGGAGCCCTTGATAGTCGATACGGCCTAACCCCTCGCCGTGCTGGGGTGCAGCGTCGTCGTCCTCATCGTATAGCTCGAGCTCGATGTAGTCGCCAGCCGCGGCCCTGGCTAACCTGCTCGAGCACGCTAGTGTATGTTCCCATCGGCCTAACCCCTCGCCGCGCTGGGGACCATCGTGGCCTAACCCCTCGCCACGCAGGGGAACATTGTGGTCTAACCCCTCACCACGCGGGGGTAAAACGCGGTCTAACCCCTCACCGCGCTGGGGTTGGTGGCCTAACCCCTCGCCACGCAGGGGGTGCCTACGGTCTAACCCCTCACCGTGCTGGGGATCGCCTGCCCTCGCAGTCTCGCCCTGCGAGGGTCGGCTGCGGTCTAACCCCTCACCGCTCTGGGGGTTGATGTACTGCTTTCCGTATGTCTCCCTGTCGTAAACACGGTCTAACCCCTCACCGCGCTGGGGTACTTTGCTCCACTTGTAGCGGTCGTCGGGCTGTCCCTGGCTCATGGGGATCGGGTCGAGGTGCTCCTGGGGCCGTACCCCCGCTATCTCCTGTCCATCATGACGCCGCTCTTCGACCCTTTGTTCTCCTTCGCCTCGAAAGGTACCTTCATCGTCGATACGGCCTAACCCCTCGCCGTGCTGGGGTACCGTGTCGTCGTCCTCCTCGTAGAGCTCGAGCTCGATGTAGTCGCCTGCCGCGGCCCTGGCTAACCTGTTCGAGCACGCCAGTGTATGTTCCCATCGGCCTAACCCCTCGCCGTGCTGGGGAGTATCGTGGCCTAACCCCTCGCCACGCCGGGGTCCCCCGCCCGCTGGGCTTGATGCTGCCTCCGATGCGCTTGTCGCCGTGGAAGGTCCGCACGTCCTTCTTGTAGGTGACGTGGCACCCATACTCCCAGCAGTCGCCCGCTCAAGCCTGCAGCACCAGCTGCCGCGACTGAGGCTAGCTTCCACGGGGTCTCCTGCTTGATGATCGTCATCTGCCTCAGGCCATCGTGGGGATGGCGGCCTTTGCCCGTCTGGCGCCCGATCTCCTAACGCCCTGCGGAACATGTCTCGTAGCCGTGCCAGTTCACGCCGATGCCGATGGGCCAATCTACGATACTCTTCGGGTTCTGTCTCTGGCGCGTGGAGACGTTCGTAGAACTCGTCCCTTCTCGTCGTTGTTTGTCTCCACGCACTCCCGCACTGCTGCTCGATGATCTGCTGCATCGTCTGCCCTGGGAACCAGCGCCTCAATGTGCGGCACAGGGGGTGATTGTTGTCGTCGGTGAGCATCTGCGTGAGCATCGCTACGCACCACTCCTGCCAGCTGTCGCTGTCTCTGGCCAAGCACGTAAGATCGTCGTACCACAATGTTGCCCATTCTCTAAGATCAGCACGCATGTCGGCATAATCTTGTGGCCCCGTATCCTCAACGATCGGCGGTAGCCCCATCGCGCCTGGATTCTGATCCAATACTCCATCGCTGTCGTCCATCCTGCAATCGTCGTCGTGGTTATGCCTGACCAGTACGTTCTGACTCCCCCCACGGTCGGTACTTTCAGCACTCGTGGCCAAAGGGGCTGCGTGCTTCCAGTGCGTGCCGCGGGGGGCAGATTCCGATCCAGCTGCATGACGACGATCTGTACGGTCTAACCCCTCACCGTGCTGGGGTGTAAAGTGGCCTAACCCCTCGCCACGCTGGGATACGCCTCGGTTTGACTCCTCCCCGCGCAGGGGCGCTTCGCTGAAGAAGTGGTCGATGTCCCTCTGCACCTCGGGGTCGTCGTAATCCTCCACCTCCTGTGACCTCGGCTCAGGCAGGGGCTCGCACTCGCAATCTGTTGGATGCACCGCTGCTGGTCGACTACTTGCCACTGTAGTCTTTCTCGTGATCCGTCTCGGTCGGGGTATAGGGTGCGGTGCTGGAGGGGGCGCATTCCCAACCAAAGGGCCGCTGTACTCGTGCGGCGCTAGCCGCTCTTGGTCAAGCAGCTCACGCACCTGCCTAGCAATTTGTGCCTCTTGTGCAGCTCGCGGTGGTTCTTTCCTGTAGCCAGGGTAGCGTCCGTCCCGAATCTTGTTGAGCGCATCCTGCCCGTACTTGGTGATCGTCTCGCTGCACTGCTCGCGTAGCCTTTTCCCGATGGTCGTTCCATGTGCTGCGCACCGCGCGCAGAATAGCAGTCCGTACCGCACCCATTCGTTGACCACGTGGCTGCCATGTATCTTGCCATTGCCCATGAACCTGTCGCCCTTTACCTCGACTATCTCGTTGGCCGTGCTGTATGTAGCGTTGCATGCCGTGCTGGCAAACTCCTGCAGGGCGTCCGCTGCGATGTACTGCCTGCAGGCTGTGCAAAACCACTTATTCTTGAGCCTGACCATATCGTGCTGCTTCATCTTGTCGACGACTTCCTTTACTCGGTCCCTCTTGGCCTTGGCCTTGGCTGTGGTGGGCCTCTCAGCGCACCAAGGGTCAATGTTCGCCGTGTCCTCCAAGGCCTGCCTCGCTCGTAATCGTACATGAGCACAGATCGCATCCCATTCGTCTGTACGTGGTATTGGCGTGGACACTCTCTCCCAAGAAGCTTCTGCCGCAACCGTAGCAAGTGCGTCTGCAAAACTGTTGCCCATCGCAAAAATCGGGTTGACTAGCTCGACCTCGTCCTCGTCCTGGTGCGACGGGGTCCACTCCACTTCGATGTGTCTGGGGGACGTGTCCATCACCGCCCTCTTGATGCGTGCCCATAAATCCGCGTTCTTCCCTCGCCCAGGGTCTTGAGCTCTGCCTTTTGTCCAAGCTGTGAGGAGCGGGTAGTGGTCCGTGACGTACACGATGTCTCCTCTCGTTTCCTCTATGGCAATCGCGAAGGCCGTGATCTCTGCCCGCGGTACGGTTTGACGCCGTCCTGGTAGGTCTGCCATCGTGCCTGCTGACATACTCCACTTGCCGTCGATCATCTTCATGGTCGCCACTCCGATGCCTACCCGTCTCCTGCGGGGGTCGCCCCCGTAGTAACCGCCTGAGCCATCACCAAATAGATAGAGGCTGCGTCCTGGCACTCGAGCTTCTTCGTGATCGCCGAACCTGACGTAGTCCTGCCTGTCGGTGTCATTGACCTCTGGGTGAGTGAGCTCTCTGGGCGGTATACCTCGGAGCCATAGGGTCGGGTTTGCCTCGACGCCAGCGAGCGCCTTTGGCACCAAGTAGTCCGTCTTCTCATAGTTTTCGTGTCCTGTGTTGGCCGTACAGGTGTAGATGCGGTGGAAGATGGTCTCGGGCTCTTGCTTGCACCTCTCGCAGATGTTCGTGTCGCACTCGTAGCCAGCCTGAATCTGTCGTTGCCGAGTCCATTGCCCACCCGTAACCACCACGTTATTGAGTGCCCAATCTTGCCATTCCGCCCGCTGGCTGTATCTTTGTTGCTCCTTACTTATGTGCCATATGTCTCCTCCTCGCTGCAAATCGTCCCCGTGCAAATGCGTAGCTGCTTGTGCCCACCTCGCCATTTCCAGGTCGTGCTCCAGATCCTCCAGCAGCTGTGTGTACTCAATAGCATCAATGTCGCACTTGCCATCGTCGTCTATGAAGGGGAGCTGCCATTGCTCGTCACCTTGTGGTGTCGGTCGCTTCCATAGTGCCGCCTGTATCGGCTTCCACCCCGCCGCCATTAGAGTAGCCTGCACCGCTGCCACTGGGCCGTGTACCTTGCGCCACAGCTGCGTGCCTGCCCTGATCAGCTTACGGTAGGTCGGTCCCCATGCTTGTCGAACTCGTCGATGAATTTCTGGGTGAAGAAGCCATTGATGTAGCCATTCGCTGACAAGTTGCCGTCGCAGGCTGATGCCTGGGTCCTTCAAGTGATACAGCACAGCCATGCCAGTGGATAAGCACCTTCCTGGTCCTGTGCCAGCCGCCGACTTCATGGCCATACGTCGTAACTGTAATATTCGGCTGGGTGCGATTCCCCAGACCTCGTGCCCATAAGTCTCCTGGGGTGAGACGCCTGTGGTGAAGAGGCCCTTGGTAATCCTTGCCACACGCGTCGCCATCCTTCGCAACCTGAAAATCTTGCCCGCTCGCTGCTTGGCCTTTCGCTGGCGTGCCCGCGCCTTCTTCTGTGTGCGCTTGCCCATGCCACTGACGTCGGTGCCCAAGTCCACCATGTCACTTTGTTGCTTACCAGGGAGTCCTCGCCGTTGTAGTCTGCGCCATATTCGTCTTCGGAGCTTGGGATTGGATGCAACGAGCACCGTCTTGGGCGAGATGATGAGGCTGCGCTTCTCAGCCTGGATGATGAACTCATCGACCAACTCCACCATCTGCTGCTCCACCGTCTCCTCGGTACCTTCGACCCTTCCAACCGTGTCGTCCACGTATGTCCATAGCCCCGCTGCCTGGACTCGCTTCTGGGCTGCGTCCAAGAGAGGGAACAGGTACACCTTGGCGAATCTAGTCCCTTGGGCCGAGCCCGCCACGATCGAACATGACGGGTCGATCCTGGGTCCGATCCACTCCGTGTGCTTGAGGTGCCGTGGACCCAGGAACGCTTCGACCTCCATCGCCATAATTGTCGGTGAGAAATCCAGCTCGATCCCCGTGTCTATGAGCCATCCCAAGTCTAACGAATCGTAGAACTGCTCCATATCCGCGAACAACTCCGCATGTGCAATACCCATGGAATGGCCCGTCTCGTCGAGGGTAGCTCGCAGCAAAGCCGCACGTAACGCCGAGGAACCACGCAACGCCGTATCCCAGTGGTCCTCCAACTGCTGCGTCCACGACTCGACCACTCCTGACCGCATCCGTGACCATATACGAATCGTCATAGGTAAAAGCCCTAAGGCTCGATCTCCTCCTGCTGGTTTGCCCGCGATCGCGCCGATGGTGCCCAGGACTTGTGGGGGCCACATCAGATGCTCTTCGGCTTGCGCGATGATATCCAAAAAACTGTACTTGGCCTGGTCTGGGAGCCTCTCGATGTCCAAGGGGCCTATCGCATCGATTCCTCGTGCCTTCTTGACCCCCATGCGGTGGGTGGCAGCGTTGAGGTCCTGGATCGTGAGCTGCGGGAGGTCCTCTTGGGCCGCCGAGAGACGGCAACGTCGAAGAGCGCCTGCAAGTGCTGTCTGTCTATGCGGGGCAGCCGTCCACTTCTTGGCCCAACTCTCGCTCTTGTGGTTCATGATGAGGATGGGATCGGCCACGATCGTGCCTGAGATCATCTCCTCGAGCCGCGGCTGCTGCGCGCCCTTCGTCCATCTGTGCAGGGCTCCAGGGGTCTTCTTCCACATATCCTGCGCCCACCTGATGAAGCCCTTTGTGCCATCTGCCAGAGCTCTCCGCGCTGCTTGTCCAGCCAATCTCTCGGTGACCTCTATCACGTCCTCTCTCTCCTGCCGTGCTGGGCTGAAGATGTCGTGTGCGCTCTGCTGCCACTGGTTGAGCAGCTCGATATCGCTGTGCTTGCTGACCACATGTACCTGCTGCATCCGCTGTCGAAACTCTTGCCCTCGTTGTTGTAGCTGTTGTGGGTCTTTGTTGTTCTTCACCAGGCCATTGATCGCGATCACCTGCGTGTGCGTGATGGCCCACCACTCAGCCTCTGCATTGTACAGATGCGGTCTGCCTGGCGCTGCTGTGCTCTTTGTCCACTTGATGCCGAAACCCTGCGCCCTTCCTCTATAGCCGTCTCGTTGGTGTTGGGGTACCTCTGAGTGCTGCAAAACTGCCTCCTCCACGGCCTCGATCCACCTGCCGTAGCTGTTCGCCAACTTCTGTGCCAGCAGTGGCCGATCGCGATAGGCCTGAGGCCGCCAACGGTCCCTTCTGAGTTGAATATCTGGTAGATTGCCAGGGAAACCCCATTTGGCTTCTTCCCACGTAACGCAACTGATATGGAAGCCGATGGACGGTGAGTCCGCGCTCGGAGTCTGCGCTGTCGGGGATGTGTTCGTAGTCGTTGTGCCTGGCCCGTGCTCGAGGAGATCAAAACCATGTCGAAGTACAGGTTCCAGCTCTTCGCGCCTCTGTTGGCGTCGTGCCTGCTGCTTACTCCGTTTGCTGTCCAGGTCCTTCTGCTTCTTCGGCCTCGGCACCGTGGGCAACGCTTTGGGAATGTCCAGCGTGCGGTGCCACCATCGCTGCTTCTTGCCAGCCAGCCTGATGCGAAGCCCACAATGCGTCGCCCATGGCACCGTCAGTTCTTTGGTAATGGTAAGCCCTTCCTTGCAGCCCGCGGCGACGACGCCGTAGTCGTAGAGAGAGCCCTTGCCTTTGTCGCATGTGACCTCCTCTGGGCCCGTGACGATCTCGCCTCGCATCTGTTCTAACCAACCAGATGCGAGCAGCTCAGTAGGGACGCAGTTCCAATCCGCCACGACGAGCCATGGGTCCTTCAACAAGCGCACAAAGGCCGTGAGGGCTGCCATGACCTTACGGTTCCTGCCCGTGAAACGCAGGGTCGGTAGTAGGTAGGCCGCGATGATGATGAAATTGCCGATGCTGCGGTGCAGCACCATGGGGGAGAAACCGACGAAGGCCGTGTCCCCTTGCTTGTCGTGCTTGCCCTTCCAGTGCTCCAGGGACGTGGACTGTATGTGCGCGCGCGTGGCGACGAGTTCACCCGCGGACCATCCTTTCTTCGACTTGCCACTGGGGACCGCGGGGGTAACTGTCGCCTTCCATCCTTCTTTCTGCAGGAACGTCTTCATGGCCGAGACTTGGTTTGGCCCCTTGTGCGTTTCCACAAACGCCAGGCAATCGAACTGCTGCACCGCTGGGCCTTGCACGTAGTTCTGTACCTGTGGGCCCCACTCCGTGATGTTGCCGAACAGGACCTGGAACTCCTCGCTCTGCTGCTGGGTGGAGTGCGCCTCGCTAAAGCCCAGACTGCTCAGTACCATCAGCCAGACCGTCAGCTTGCGCATGAGCTTCGCGAGCCTTACGCCTCTCAGCCCGAGCCTGCTCCAAGGCTGCTTGATTGGCGTCCCTGATCTTCTTCTTCTCGTCCTCAGGGTTGATGGCTGTCGCACCTGTGCCGTTGCTTGCGGTCGCTGGCGATGCTGTGGTGGGTGCCTCCGACGCTGGGGGTTCCTCTTCCACTGCCTCCGCCTTGGGTCCTTCTGTACCCGCCTCGACCTTACGCTTCTTTTTGGGGGCCTGCATTGCCTTCTTTGCCTTCTGGTGGATCTCCTCGATGTACTTGAACTTCGCCTGCAGGGTGCCCAGCTGCTCCTTCTGGAACTGCTCCAGCTCGTTCTTCCACTGCATGATGCTGTCCATCTCCTCGGTCGGTATGTCGCACTCCTCGAGACCCTCGAAGAGTGAGCCGTCGTACTCGAACTTGACGTTGAGGGTCTTCTCATCGGGTTTGACCACGATGATGCCCGACTCCTGGTTGGCCTGCTGGAGTGCTGTGAGATGCCGCTGCTGCACCTCGACCCTCTGCTGGGCCAACTTGTCCATCTTCTCGAGCTGGTCGTCCAGGTACAGCTGCGCGCCCGTGAGCTTCGTCCGCTGCTTCTCAATGCGAATGTCCAGCTCCTTGAGCGCGCGATTGGCGTCCGCCAGCAGCTGGGCGCCCGTGCGCTGCTTGGGTGGGGCTGGCGCAGGCTTGGCGTTGGCCTCCTCTTCTTGGGCTTTGCGACGCAACAAGTCCAAGGCGGCCGTGATGGTGGGGTCGCCCTTCTCGCCGACGCCCTGGTACGCCGCCAAACTTGTGATGAGGGAGGCCGTGGAGATCGGGTCGGACTGTCCGCCATCGCCCTTCTGCGCCTCCACGGAGTCCCAGCCAGCCTTGGTGCTTGCGTACGTGGAGTGCCGCCAAGGTGCCCACTTCTTCCACAGTCGTCCCGAGCGTGGCCAACCCGCAGAATGAGGTCCATTCTGTGCCCAAACTCCAGACGGTGGTGGTGGGGCGCCGACGGCGGGGCGGAGCTTCGCCTTGCACTTGAAGCACTCGACTTTGCTGCTCCAGTTCCACTTGTAGCCGCACGCTTTGCACCCGATATACCCCGCTGCGTTGCCAACATCTCCCATGCCGCGGGTCGCTGTGCACCAGGAGTGCTCACCTGCGGGCTGCAGGCGGCACGCAGAGTCCTGGGGCGGACCAGGCTCTGCGAAACAGACAGGGTATGCCGCGGACTAGCGGTATCCAGTTTCGCCGATGCGGGCTCCGCCCGCAGAAGCATCAGCCTTGAGCCAAAATGGCTACGGAACCAGAGGAGGAGGAGGAGGAGGAGGAGGAGGAGGAGGAGGAGGAGGAGGAGGAGGAAGAGCGCCAGTGCCCGCATGCGGTTCGTCTGGCCGGCCGGCGGGCGGGGAGGAGGAGGAGGAGGAGGAGGAGGAGGAGGAGGAGGAGGAGGAGGAGCAACAAAAGGCTACCTCGCCCCTTCGAGGAGGAACCTGGTGTACGCCGCCGAGAACTCGGAGGGGGAAAACTGATGATGCCGGATGCCAGGATGGAGCCTGAAGGGGGCATAGAGGGCGAGAGCGCGCTGCAGGAGGAGCGAGTCTCCTCCCAGCGCTCCCGAGACACTGCTCGGAGGCATGCATAAGAAATAATCGAGGGCCCACTCCGGAGCCGGAGTTGGCCCGTCGAACTGCTCTGCAGTCAGCCTTCGAATTGTTGGGCAGCGTACAAATTGTGTGAGGCTATCGTCGCCAACGCCACAAGCGAATGCGCAAGGACCGCTAGTTTGAAAGCGACGACGCGTGCACCAACCGTCGCAAATTGTGCGCAAGTAGATGGCTTGGACTCGGGGGGCCGCACTGCGTCCCAGAACCTGGAATGTGATCAACGCGCGCTCCACGCGGCGGCCTAGGCATGTCCGTGACGGCCCCCTGTCGAGCCGACGGCGCAAGTGGACATGGGCAGCTATGGGCCTGGTCTCCCTGTACAAATCCGTCGCCCTGCCCTGCCGACCGCAACGAACGCTCGAGTGTAGGCCACCTCCTCCAGGGTGGAGTGCTACACGTCGCTGTAGATCACTGTCGGAGCCAGCAAGCTTGAACGAGAAACAGTTTGGCGCCCAGGACGCTCTCCAAGCAGCATGGGCCAGGGAACAGGAAGGACTCGGGAGGAGATCCCGCAACCTCGATGCGCGTTCCTGCGCGCGGAGGCCGCCGTGGGCGGCATGTTCGAATCGCACCGCGCGGGCCTTCGCAGCTGCTGCGATGGCGCCTAGATCCGGCAGATAGCTCGGAAAACTGAGGGTCCGCAGGTCCCGCAGGCAAGATGAGACCATCCAGAGTTGACAGGCTCTCTGCTCGTGGACGAGGAAGTCAAGAGGTAGGTCCTCCAGCCGAGCAACAAACTGGAGCACTGAGCTGATGTGCGCTCGATACGCCTATAGCGATAAGAGAAAGCCCATGCCGAGGCGCCCCAAAACTCTGGTCCGCTCTATGTATTTGCGCGGCGGGGCGCCCCAGGAACTGGTGGCCCGCCCTGGGCCCACCATAAAACCAAGATGCTTCGCAGCCCCCGCCATCCGGGCGGATCCCCAATCAAGAGCCCGGCGCGCCACCTCGCCCCTGACCTCCTGCCCCTGGAACTGGAACAGCGGGGCAATGACCGTCTTCCGCACGTTGAGCTGGAGCCGAGGCACCACAGCAAAATCTATGGAAACAAAAGCGACTGGAGACAGCGGAGGTGGCCAGCGCCCCCCCCCCCAAGGATCATGGCCAAATCGCCAGCCCACGCGCGCGTGCAGGCCGAAGGGGGCACCCGTCGCAGCCCGCGCAACATAAGGCCCGTTGCCATTGCGAACAACAGGGGGGGAGAGGGGGGGCATCCTTGACGGATGCCCCGCGTCAGAGGGAACCCGAGGTAGCAGGCTCCACCTAATTTAATGGAACAAACATTGTCTTGGGACAAAACGCCGGTGGCTCGGAGGAGCCAGGGCGACCGGCCCAGCGAAGCGAATAACTGTTGGAACAAATTGTGCTCTTTTGAAGGGAAGGCGGCAGCAAAGTCATAATGCGCAGCCAGGCCGGCCTCCCCTTCTGCGGCCACTCGGGCAATCGCCTCGTCTACGTCTAGAAGGTTCGCTATCAGCGAGCGTCCTGGTAAGAATCCGCGTTGCGGGCTCCACCGCCAGGCGAATCGCGCTGGCGAAGAGGCGGTTGTCACAGTTCGTCACGTCAAGCGGCCGCGCGCCGCTCGCAGGGAAGGCCGCGGCCTCATCTCCCGCGGGGTTCTCAAGAGCTCTGGGAAGGAAGAAGAGCAGACTCTCGTTGAAGTCGGCGCAGTGGCGCCGGACTCGCTCCTCCCCTGCTTTGGGCACCGTTTCTTGGAAAGCCCCGTGCACTGCGCTCGCCGCCAATTCCCCTAACGCCATCCAAGCCCAATAGGGTAGCCCACCCGACCCTGGGCAGAAGTCGTTGGAAAGACGGAGGGCTTCCTGAACATGCTGGCGTCCGAGCTGGAGCTCGTGCGCCACCGCGTGCGCGGGGCCATGGAGCCCCCGGTCGGCGGCGTCCTCGATCAACCACTCCTCGAGGCGATCCTGCCGAATGCCGCGCTCCCAGAAAGTCCCCCCCCCAATGCCGCCGCGGCGCTCCCGCCATATCGGCCGCCCCCGTCACGAAATTGCCGCGTTTGTCGATGATGGCCCTGATGCCAGAACTGCGGCCAAGCGCAAGTTTGCACAACAATCGCGTGCCTTGCTGCCTCTTCCGCTGTATCTGGGGGCCGTCGCCTTCCCCGGCGTCGTCCTGAGCCTCCCTGAGCAGGCGTAGCGGGTCCCCCCCGGGCGAGTTCGACGGCGCGCTCGCG